TCTCCATTCCACAAGCTTTCTCGGGCGTTGTTTAACCTCTGGCCTGCTCATGCGCCGCCTGAGTCGTCCTGGTCGTTGGACTGGGTGCTCTCTTTTCGCTCTTTTCCTCGGTTTGTGGTGGCCCTCTCGGTTCAGGACTGTTTTCTAAGGCTCTTTTCTTGTTGGCATTGACCTCTGGGGGTCGACTCGAGGAGCTTCATGCTCTCCTCCGGCACAGGAGTTTCTGCTCTTTAGGTCCTGGTGGTTGTTTCATTCGTTTGCAGCCTTCTCCTCCTTTTCTGGCGAAGAATGAGTCTGCTGCTTTCTGAAGAGATCCTTGGGTTGTTGATGCTTGGTTGGTTCGGCGGCATCATGTTTTGTGTCCAGTTGTGGCTCTTCGCCGTTATCTGCGCGCCATGGTCTCCGTGGCAGGAGACGCGCTTTGGGTGGACCCGGTTTCCCTTCTTCCCTGTACCATGTCGTGGGTCTCCCAGGTTGTCCGCAGGATTATTCGGTCCAGCCAGCCTGCAGTCCATCCCCGTGCCCACGACGTTCGTAAGTTCGCGGCTTTGGCTGCTGTTTATGGCAGCTCGATTATCCGGGATTCGAACATCTGGAAAACACCCTTATATGGCCAAAATCTTGACCAGGTAAAGTTCTCAATATCCGGCCAAAATGGCCATGGGAGCCGGATAAAAGCTGGTTTAGCCGGATACAAAATCAGAGCCGATTAACTTGCTGCCGATGTTACACTATCCGGACAGTCAGCCGGATAATCATTGAATTGTCCGGATATGAAAGCCATGGAGTGGGCTGTACCATATTAATCCCATCTGGCTATGGCTGGCTGGCTGGCTCGAGGCGCATGGTGGAGGAGGGGGTGGGGTGGGTGGGTGGTGTCGAGAGGGTGGGAGGGGAGCGTTGGGAGGGACCACCTGGGTACAGGCGTTACCATTAATTTTAGAACAATTCATCATGGCCAAAAGCAAATGAAATACTAGTACAGTAATTATGTAATAACAAATATATAAGTTTCCTGAAAACAATGTGCACAGGCTGAAGTTTCCTTCAAAAACATTGTGAGTTTTTTCTTCCTGGTGGCTTACATAACGTGCTATAGCTGCCCCAAGTGGACCCGTCCAATACTGGTCAACCCATGTGCTCCTGTCCCTCGTGTCATACCAAAGTGTCGCGCCATTAGTGAAATAATTTTTTAAATAAGTTTTTTATTTTCATAGTAACTTTGAATATTTTTGGCCAAGACTATGTCTGATAGCAGCATCAATCGTTCTGGAAGTGTTAAGAGGAATAAGGTTGTCCTAATAATTAAAGACAAGTTACTGTTATACACCTCAACCAGTGAGTCCTCACAGGCAAGCCAAGCGCCTTTAACAAGTGAGGCACAAGCAAGCGCCTTCAACCAGTGAGTCCTCACAGGCAACCCAAATGCCTTCAATTAGTGAAGCTTCAGCAGCTGGCAGTCAAAACTAACTTTGCTTAATGAACTGTACAGTAATTTTAAGTGTTAATTTTAGTGTTGTGTTAGTATAGGTTACGTAAATTGTTAAGAATTCTTAACTTCAAGATGTGTGGCATCAATAAAGAAGACGAACACCAACAAGGTAAGTTGAGGTTTCTAGTTGAATATTTAATAATTATATGTGGCAAGGCAATTCAAATTATGTTGTTTGTAGTATAAAAATAGTTGGAAATGGTCACTTTTGGACTCGGAGGTGAAAAAGTACCATTATCGGGAACACGTGAATATCCGGCTGGGGGTCCTTCCCATATAGTCCGGATAATCGAGTGGAGACAGTATGTCTTGGGCTGACATTCGGACACGGGGCTTTTGGAGGTCGAACAGAGTCCTGGCCGCACAGTATCTCATTAATGTTCCTGGCCATTCTCGGGCGTATGTAGCCTTAGGTCACAGGTTGCAGTCAGTTGTCTCGACTTCGAGTTGAGGAGCGAGTGACGACCGCCTTCCGGGTACCTGGTTACCTGGTTGATACCTGGTTGATGGGGTTCTGGGAGTTCTTCTACTCCCCAAGCCCGGCCCGAGGCCAGGCTCGACTTGTGAGAGTTTGGTCCACCAGGCTGTTGCTTGGAGCGGCCCGCAGGCCCACATACCCACCACAGCCCGGTTGGTCCGGCACTCCTTGGAGGAATAAATCTAGTTTCCTCTTGAAAATGTCCACGGTTGTTCCGGCAATATTTCTTATGCTTGCTGGGAGGACGTTGAACAACCGCGGACCTCTGATGTTTATACAGTGTTCTCTGATTGTGCCTATGGCACCTCTGCTCTTCATTGGTTCTATTCTACATTTTCTTCCATGTCGTTCACTCCAGTACGTTGTTATTTTACTGTGTAGATTTGGTACTTGGCCCTCCAGTATCTTCCAGGTGTATATTATTTGATATCTCTCTCGTCTTCTTTCTAGTAAGTACATTTGGAGGGCTTTGAGACGATCCCAATAATTTAGGTGCTTTATTGCGTCTATGCGTGCCGTATATGTTCTCTGTATTCCCTCTATTTCAGCAATCTCTCCTGCTCTGAAGGGGGAAGTGAGTACTGAGCAGTACTCAAGACGGGACAACACAAGTGACTTGAAGAGTACAACCATTGTGATGGGATCCCTGGATTTGAAAGTTCTCGTAATACATCCTATCATTTTTCTGGCTGTCGCAATATTTGCTTGGTTATGCTCCTTAAACGTTAGGTCGTCAGACATTATTATTCCCAAATCCTTTACATGCTGTTTTCCTACTATGGGTACATTTGATTGTGTTTTGTACTCTGTATTATGTTTAAGGTCCTCATTTTTACCGTACCTGAGTACCTGGAATTTATCACTGTTAAACATCATGTTATTTTCTGATGCCCAGTCGAAAACTTTATTAATATCAGCTTGAAGTTTTTCAATGTCCTCAGCCGAGGTAATTTTCATACTGATTTTTGTGTCATCTGCAAAGGATGATACGAAGCTGTGACTTGTATTTTTGTCTATATCTGATATGAGAATAAGGAAAAGCAGCGGTGCAAGGACTGTACCCTGAGGTACAGAGCTTTTCACTGCACTTGGACTAGATTTTATATGGTTGACAGTTACTCGCTGAGTCCTGTTTGACAGAAAACTGAGTATCCAGCGTCCTACTTTACCGGTTATTCCCATTGACTTCATTTTGTGTGCTATCACGCCATGGTCACATTTATCGAAAGCCTTTGCGAAGTCCGTGTATATCACATCAGCATTCTGTTTCTCTTCTAATGCCTCAGTGACTTTGTCGTAGTGCTCAAGTAGCTGTGAGAGGCACGATCTTCCCGCTCGAAATCCATGTTGGCCTGGGTTGTGAAGGTCATTGGTCTCCATGAAATTGGTGACCTGACTCCTAATCACTCTCTCAAATACTTTTATGATGTGCGATGTTAGTGCAACTGGTCTATAATTTTTGCCAATGCTTTGCTCCCTCCCTTGTGTAGAGGGGCTATGTCTGCTACTTTAAGTGCATCTGGTATCTCCCCCGTGTCCAAGCTCTTCCTCCACACTATACTGAGTACCTGTGCTACCGGCACTTTGCATTTCTTTATAAATATTGAATTCCATGAGTCTGGACCTGGGGCCGAGTGCATGGGCATGTTTTCAATTTCTTTTTCAAAATTTAGTGCGCTCGTGTTTATATCAGTTATATTTACAGGGGTTTGAATATCCCGCATAAAGAAATTGTCTGGATCTTCCACCTTCATGTTGTTGTAAGTCCCTCTTTTTCTTTATCTTTGGTTAGGTAGCTCCGGGGAGCCGAAGGGGCTCTCCACAGAAAACCAGCATTGAATGTAACGAAACGCCATTTTCTGGGTGAGGCCCGGAGGCGCCCCAGCATCCCTCCCTCTCTCCAGTCGGTGTTTTTTTCGCGTTTTTGATACTCAGCCTCTGAACTGAGGAGAGTTGCCGGTGTGGAGGTTTGGGACCCACCCCATCCCCCCGTCCCTCTCCTGGGGAGGGGGTTGTGCAGACGGATGCGCTGCGTTTGAGGTGACATCATACTTGCTTTCTTGGTTTTAATTGGGGAGTTCTGTTGCTTGTTCGGCTTTCGGTTTGCAATTTTTTTTTATCAGCAGCAGTTTGCTTTGAAATTCCTACCTTTCTGGGTGCCTGACCTGGTAGATGGCAGACAAAGACTGCTTCCAATTACATGGGAGTGTCTTTAGGCCATTGCTCCTCGTGCCTCTCTTGAAGGGGCTAGGTTCTGGCTATGGTCCCTGGTAGGCCTAGAACTTCTTCGATTGACTATTGCCACGGTCTAATATATACACATCAGCCCGATATAGCTCCAGGGAGCCTCCGGGTCTCACCCAGAAAATGGAGTTTCGTTACATTCAACGCTGGTTTTTTAGTTTCTAGTTGTAATTTTCTTACTATGTGGGGTTTGTTTTGTTATACCTACCTTTCTGGGTGCCTAACCCCAGTTGATGGCAGATAAGGAAAACCCTAACCACAGAGGGGGGGGGTTTTCTAGGGGCAATACTCCCTAAAACCTCTATAAGGGGGCCCAAGGTCTGGCTCGTGGTCCTCGGTAGGCTGAACTCCATTGACTAATGCTCCCGGTCTAATATATCATACATTAGCCTGATAGCTCCAGGGCTAATGCAGGGCTCACCCAGAAAATGGCATTTCATTACATTCAACCTGAATGTAATGAAATGTTATTATATTTCATTACATTTTGCTGCTATTACACTCTGGTATTGACTGGTAGGCCAACAGAACTCCGCAGCTGATGGCACTTAGTAGTATGGCATTGAATCAGTGTAATAGCTTCAGGATGCCTCAAGGGGCTCCCCCAGGAAACCTGTTTGGATAGCCAAATAATGTTGAATAGATTTATTTAAAAATACAGTACCATATTATTATTTTATCAGGAGTACATTATACTCTTTATTTTGCAAGACTGGAATACTTTTTCAGTCTAATTATTTTACTATTGTACTAGCAAGAAATTTTGTTACAACATTCAGGTCATACCTGGAGATATTTGTCACACCTTCTTTTTCAAGTTTCCTTTTCCACACAAAGGTATCAAGCAGATTATTATCACCATATGGATTATCAGCATTTGTAAAGTGAAGATATTCACTATCCCAACCCATCTTCTCCTTTCGCTTTCTCTCCTTTGCTTCCTGAAAAATATTTAGTTTATTAAACTTCAGATAGACAATGTTAACATCAGCAATAAAAATGATGCAAAGTTCCTTGGCCTATACATAGAAGAGACAACTTCAGCATCCACATAAAACACAGCCAAAAAAACAGCGTTGAATGTAATGAAACGCCATTTTCTGGGCGATTCCCGGAGGCTCCCTGGAGCTTTCCCAGGCTGATATGCTAGTGTCAGACTTTGGCATCAGTCATGTGTATGGAGTTCTTAGGCCTACCGGAGACCACGGCCAGAACCGGGCCCCCTCAGAGAGGCAAGGGGAGCAATGGCCTATGGAAACCCCCCTGTGGTTGGAAGCATTCTATGTCTGCCATCGACCGGAACAGGCACCCAGAAAGGTAAGCTCCTCAAAACAAACCCCTATTCTGGTTAAAATTGCTACCAAAACCCGAACTAGTGGATAGAACTCCCCAACAGAAAACAAGCAAATTACAGTAGTGTGACGTCACACGTCGCCGTGCTGCTGTCTGCGCAGCTTCCCCCCTCCCCAGGAGGGGGAAGGGGAAGCCCCAGACCCTCCACGCCGGTTATCTTGAGTTATCTTGCGCTACCCACACCTCAGTTCTTGAGGCTGGATGTCAAAAACGCCAAAAAAAAAAAAAAACGCCGACCGGAGGGAGGGAGGGATGCCGGGGAGCCTCTGGGACTCACCCAGAAAATGGCGTTTCATTACATTCAACGCAGGTTTTCTGGGGGGAGCCCCGTCGGCTCCCCGGAGCTAACTACCCACAGACGGAAAAAAGAGGGACTCTTGAGGCTGGATGTCAAAAACGCCAAAAAAAAAAAAAAACGCCGACCGGAGGGAGGGAGGGATGCCGGGGAGCCTCTGGGACTCGCCCAGAAAATGGCGTTTCATTACATTCAACGCAGGTTTTCTGGGGGGAGCCCCGTCGGCTCCCCGGAGCTAACTACCCACAGACGGAAAAAAAGAGGGACTTACCCAGGAGGCGCTCATCGCTCACTCCTCAACTCAAAGCCGAGACAACTGGCTGCAACCGCCGACCCAAAGCAACACAGGCCCGACGGGGCCCAGGGACATTCACAAGGTAACGAGCAGCCAGGACCCTGTTCGACCGCCCAATACCCCGCACCCGAATATCAGACCAAGACATATTTCCAAAGACGGCAGCAAGAGCCGCGAACTTACAGACGTCATGGGCACGGGGATAGACCGCAGGCTGGCTGGACTTAATAACCCTGCGGACGACCTGGGAGACCCGAACCCGCAAACAGGGAAGAAGGGAAACCAGATCAACCCAAAGCGCGTCCCCGGACACAGAAGCCGTGGCGCCCAAGTAACAGCGTAGCGCCGCAACCGGACACAAAACATGATGCATCCCCGGCCTGACCAACCAAGCATCAACCACCCACGGACCCCTCCGGAACGCAGCAGTCTCATTCTTCGCCAGAAAAGAAGGAGACGGCTGCAAGCGAACAAAACAATCTCCACGAGCATAAGAGCAGAAACCCCTGCGCCGGAGGAAAGCATGAAGCTCCCCTACCCGACCCCCAGAGGCTAATGCCAACGAGAAAAGAGCCTTGGAAAAACAACCCAGGACCGAAGGGGCCACAACGAAACGAGGAAACAAAAGGTAAGCGAGCACTCAGTCCAAAGACCAGGACGGCTCAGGCAGCGAATGGGCAGGCTGGAGGTTAAACAAGGCACGAGACAGGTTGCGAAACGGCGCAGACATAACATCGATACCGAAGGCAAGCTGAAGCGGCTCCGCCAGCGCCGCACGATACGAGGCGACAGTGTTAGGCATAAGATGACGGTCTTGAAGCAACCAAGAGAGAAAGGACAAGACCACCCTAACAGACAAAGAACTAACACGACGAAGTCGCAAAAAGAAACAGAAGGACCGCCAGGAAACTTGAAACTGCCGCCGAGAAGAAGCCCGCAGGTGGGACACCAACAAGGAGGCCACCTGATCACCATAGAGATAATGATAAACTCGAGTCAAAAAACCCATACACGAAGACTCGAGGAGAAGATTGAACCAGCCACGTGACGTACCGGCCCGATCTGCTGAAAGAGGCAGAGCCGCGGGAAAACCTCTGGGTTCGGACACTGAGCAAGCAGCGCCTGAAACCACGGCTGGGCCGGCCACCAAGGGGCCAAGAGGACAACTCTCCCCTGGTAAGTCTCCAAGTGAGTCAGGACCTGGAGCAACCGCTGAACCAGGGGAAAGAGGTACAGGAACCCCTCACCTCAACCAGTCTAGCCGAAAGGCATCGACCCTGACGGCCCCGCGATCGGGGAAGGGCGCCACATACACGGTAAGACGCTGCGACCTCGCCGACGCGAATCGGTCCCCCTCAGGGCGCCTGTACATCTGGCAAAGCCAATGGAAGGACTCGTCGTTGACCGTCCACTCCGTGGAGAGGGCAACGAAGTGAGACAGGGCGTTGGCCAAGACGTTGGACACTCCCTGTACGTGAATCGCCAAGAGAGCCAAACCCCGAGAACTCAGCAGACGAGTCACCCGAAGCGACCAACCCCAAAGAAACAAGGACCGCATCAAACCCCCGCGGTTCAGGCAATGAAACACCAGAGAGCAGTCCGAATGGAGCCGAATCGTCAATCCGCGGGCCACCCGAATCTTCCAAAGAGCAAGCCACACTGCCGCGAACTCCCGCGTCATGCTGTGAGCTCGACAGAAGGACGGATCTCAACGCCCCTGGCCGGCCTGGTGAGCACTGGTCACAAAGCACCAGCCGAGAGACAACGCATCCGTGTACACATCGAGCGAGGGCTTGGGTAGGCGCTAAGGCACTGAACCCCGAAAAATCCGAAGAGGAAGCTGGTGACGCAGCAGCCAACACAAGGCCCCCGAGGGTCGAACCCTGCAATCGCAAGAGAGGCGGAAGGGGTAACCCCGAAGGAACCAGAACAGCCGACGAAGCCAAACCCGACCCGGCGGGTAGACCACGATCTCGAAGTTCAGGCTCCCGCACAGCCCCTAGAGCAACCGCCGGGTGACCCGAGGGCCCACCAGAAACAGACGAAGGTGGGACTGCAGCCGCAAAATAGACTCTGGAGGGAGAGACAAGGAAGTGGTCCGAGAGTCCCAAACAAGACCCAGCCAAGTCCGAACTTGAGAGGGAACCAGATGGGACTTCCTCCAGTTCACCAAGAACCCGAACCCGGCGAGCTGGGAAAGAACCAAATCCCCGGCGAGCTGGGAAAGAACCAAATCCCCGGCTAGCAAGCAAGCTGACCGGCTGGGAGCCCAAACCAGCCAGTTGTCTAGGTAGGCCAACACCCGAACACCAAGGAGATGCAAACGGGCTACCACAACCCGCGTAAAGCGCTTGAACATGCGAGGTGCCAGGTTCAACCCGAACGGGAGACAACAAAAGCGGTAACTCAGACGCCCCACAACAAAACCGAGCCAGTCCCTGAACCGCGGATGAATCGGACATGCCAATAAGCGTCCCGGAGGTCCAGGGACACCATTCAAGCTCCCGGCTACAAGAGGAGCCAAACCTGAGACAGCATAGTCATCCGAAAGGAGGGGCAATGAACCCAGGGGTTCAGACGGGACAAGTCCAGAATGAACCGCAGGTCCGCGCAGTCACGTTTCGGGACTGGAAACAGACGGGAAACCCATCTGAGGGACGACGTCGTTTCGACGACGCCCCAGCGAACCCACTCAAAGATGACCCGACAGTGCAGGGGGAAGAAACCTGCCCTGCCAGCCCTGACTCTCCCTAAGGGGGGGGGCCAAGGCCACCGTAGGTCGACAGACACGACCCGAAACGCCCATGGACCAGGCATGGGCGAACAGCGCAAGCCAACCCCCACCCCCCCCCCCACCCTGCCATCGCCCTGTCAATGGGGCAAACCGCAAAAGAGCCGGCGCCCCTTACCCTGAGGAACCCTGAGCCCTGGCACGACCCTTCCGGGAAGACCCACCCCGGGAACCCCGGAAAACCAACAAGTCCAACATCGGACGACACGTCGACGACGCAGCCTGAATAAACTGCGCCACGGCCGACTCCTCAAACAGAAGAGGACAAAAAGGTGAAGAACGCCTAAGAGCCAGAGCCCAAGCAGATTCCACGGAAGAACCCAGCACCGTCTGTCGACACGCGAGACGGGAAGCATAAAACAGGGAAACTGCATCCCGCAAAATCAGTGTGAACAGCTTCAACAAGGCAGCCGACAAACGCGCAGCCGAGGACAAGGCGCCAGACCCCGGGACAGACCCAAGCGTCCTCACATCCTCCACGAGCCAATCTGAGGACAGCTCCAGGAGGGAAAAGAACCGCAAGGCCGAAGCCAAAAGGCCCCAGGCGCACAAGTCCTCTGCTATGAGCGCCGCCGAAAGGGTGGGAACCTGCACATGGAGCTGAATAACGCCCACATTGCGGGGAAGGGCAGGGGCAAACAAGCACTCATTCAGGTACTCAAGATCGCCCCCCAGGAAAACCTGTAGCATCGTGGAAGCATCGTGGAAGCTTCCCGCCACTCCAGCGTACGGGAAGGAATGCCAGGAATCCAGAACAAACAAGGGGTAGTCCGCTAGCCAGGAAGACTCCGGAACCTCGTAACGGAGCCAGAAAGGGAACGAAGTCCCAAACCTGAACTCGGACGGATCCATCTCCGAGGCATAATCCGGGTCACGCAGCAGGTAAGCTGCAAAGGCCAACTGCACCACACCAGGTTGGATGCGATAAGCCGAAAACCTCCGGAAAGACGGAACCGACGTACCCGGGGAAACGCGGAACCGAACCCGGGGAGGGGCCGACACCAAATCCAACTCATACGCAGCGGAGGAAAAAGAAAACTCCACACCTTGTAACAATAAGCCCCGCTCAGAGGGAAGAAAAACCCAGGCGGGGTCCAGCAGGGCCCAAGGCCCCCAAGTCAGCCCCTCCCCAGCCTCGAGGTCCTTCACCGCAGGACCCGGGGCCGAGTCCTCTCCCCAAGCCCCGACCCCACAAGACAAGAACGGA